AAAAAAACTGAGGTTGTTCGAAAGGAGGGCAATTTCATTTTCACAAGTGAGGCGACCACCTGTTCGAGTGACCTGTCTGCCAATTCTTAGACATCAATCAAACAGCACTGGTTCTACGAATACCTCCTTTGCCAAATCATTATACCGAAACCACCGACTAAAATACATTTACGGTTAACATAGAACCGAATCGTCTGCACTTAAAATGCTCGTTCGAAACACAGGATTATGAGTCAGACATGAAATTTGCTATCTCCGACGTAAACAATAATTGTTATTAGTATAAAACTCTTATCTTGACAATAAACAAATATTAAATTCACGTGAAAAAAAATCCACTGTTATTTGATACTTATTCGGATTTACTATAATTTAAATAATATATAATGTCCCAAATAAAATATAATTTTATTTCCTTGAGGTTTTCGTGGTTTACTTTAATTCTTTCCAGAATCTGACATCACAGTCTGTCTCTTTTCCTTCTTATTCCTTTCTTTACAGTTAATAGTATATTAGGACTACCTATAATATGTGTAATATATTTAAAACTCACTTGGCAGAAGATAAATTACTGGGAAGAAACTACTCGGGTATTTTGAGAGAAATACTAAAATTTAAAGAAATTTTAGGTTCTCACGGCGATTAGTCTGAAGATGGCTGTCTTCTGGGTTGTTGCGCAGTGTAATCCGGTAGAAGGTTACAGACGTTTCGGAGGACTTTGCTGCCTCCATCATCAGGTCGATATTAAAAATGATCTTAAAGATCGAGGGTGTGAAATGGCTTCATATGGCTCAGGATAGGGACCAGTGGCGAGCTCTCGTGTCCACGACAGTGAAGCAATGGGTTTAATTAAAATGCGGGTGATCTCTCGAGCAGCTGAGTTATTATTAGGTCGTATGCTTGTGGGATGAGACTTGGCTGGTAAAAAAATCGTCAAATGACGAAAAAGTTCTCCGGATTCACGGACGTTGAGCTCCATAGCAACCAACGAGATCTGTCGTCGTCGGGCATCGTCTTTACCTTATTCAGGGAAATGGCTTGTTATTTTTATCCCGAGAGATCACAGCTTGCGCTGGGTCGAAACGATAACTCCACTGCTCGCGGTGGCAGCTCTTACGTCACTAAATCACCTCTACAGGGTGTTCAATAACGAAACAACTTCCGAATTAACGCAATGCTGTGTATTAGACCTTTAAAGCCGAAGAGAGAGAGGGGGAGAAAGGAGACTGGCACAGACCAAAAGTAATTTCTATGTAATGCTTGTGGCGTTGAACATAAAAAAAAAAAACTTCGTCATAATCTCTCATCAGATGGTTTCGGAGAGGAAATTTGTGGAGACACACATACAATCGAACGCAACCCCTATTATGCGCTCACTTTATGCACCTCATGTACGTGATGGATAATTATGTACCTCGGTTCAATATTCTTGAATAGGACAGACCCGTGAAACGTAGGAAGTTTCCTCAGTTCCCATCAGGGTTAGGCACTGCTGAGGGAAATTTCAGTGAGAAAATCGGGTTTTTGGAATTTACAAAAAAAATTAGAAAAATATAAACTCGATCTGTGATAACTTTGTTTTTCGTTTCCAGAACTTTTAATAACTTGTGTGATGACCTGAATTTGCCTGTTCGCAGTCCCTGTGGAAGCGACCGCGTTCCTGGGCGCCGTGGCTGCCTTCGTCGTCCTCCTGCTGGTCTTCTTCCTCTACCTGAACAAGAAGTGGTGTTTCTACAGCATCGGCGGCTTCCCCTGCTGCGACGAGCCCCTCAGCCCCAACCCCCCGCGCTCCAAACAGCTCGGTAAACCTGTACCTTCATTGTACTTCTAAGCCTTCTTAAACTATAAGTACACACATTTAATTTTACTCCATTCGATTCAAAATTTGTCACAAGTATATATTTCCCCCTTCACAAATTGAAATTGCGTTCACGAAGAAAGAGGAAATTGGTGGGGGAGAAGTGAGAGACACTTCGATATCTGGGGGGGAGAAAGAGCATCTTATAGCTAGAAGGTCCCCAGGCAATGCCCGCTCGTCCTTCTGTTAAGGATAAAGTAAGAGTGAAGGCGTTAGTGTGATGATTGGCATAAAAGACGGAATTTTGAAATTTTGTATCAGAGAAGCTGAGGCTATTAATTTGGAAGTTTAGGACATCATTTAGAAGTTCCTACTAAGGGGGGGGGGATAAATTTTGACGGCGTTAAGGGGTGGTAAATTTTGATTAATATAAGTCGGGAGGGCTGTATGAGAAGCTTGCAGTGGCAACTTGGAACTTGGGAACCATCTCAGCATTTTGAAGCCGAATCCCGTCTAAACAACATTTAAGAATTCAGTCCGTACCGCGAAGAAAACACAACACTTCACCATTACAAAGATCAACTGGTTAACGCTGTTTAAAGAAATAATCGCTGTTTACAGTGAGAATCACGCGAAACTCATAGATACAGTGCGTAGGCATGTAAATAATATTTAAAGATTCAGTCCGTACCGCGAAGAAAACACAACACTTCACCATTACAAAGATCAACTGGTTAACGCTGTTTAAAGAAATAATCGCTGTTTACAGTGAGAATCACGCGAAACTCATAGATACAGTGCGTAGGCATGTAAATAATATTTAAAGATTCAGTCCGTACCGCGAAGAAAACACAACACTTCACCATTACAAAGATCAACTGGTTAACGCTGTTTAAAGAAATAATCGCTGTTTACAGTGAGAATCACGCGAAACTCATAGATACAGTGCGTAGGCATGTAAATAATATTTAAAGATTCAGTCCGTACCGCGAAGAAAACACAACACTTCACCATTACAAAGATCAACTGGTTAACGCTGTTTAAGGAAATAATCGCTGTTAACAGTGAGAATCATAAGAGACTCATAAATAAACTCTGTGCGCAAATGGCAGAGTTACTGAATATTGAAGCAGTTGGTACACATAGTTACCACTTTGCTTTAAAGGGTTAAATAACCTCTACAGTAAAGGAAAGCCAAGGCTTCAATCGAGACAGGTACCAAACGGAAAGCAGTAGAACTGGTCTCATTCCTGGAAACAATTTAGCAATCGATAAAAGGAGACGTGACTAGGCCTACAATTGTTTGGCTCATG